AGCATGCTTGTAAGCACACGGGCCATGCCAGGCCACTGTATCTGGGCCATCCTCCCAGGGCAAAGCCACAAGAGTGACTGGGATAGTCTAGGTTATGGAGAAAAGCCCAGTGCCCGACTTGTAACTCAGAGATCACATCTGACATCTTTATTTAGTTTTTACAGCTCAAAAGGACTTTTTCTTTGCCTGGAAATAACTGAAGGACAGGGGCAATGGTGGCAGCATAGCTTTGCACTCATCACTGGATGTCATTGCAGAAGGAGAAGATGCATTCTAGGACCCAGGGACTTAGCCATCCACCAGTCAAGAGGGGATTTTGTGAGAGCTCAGAGGGAGGGAGGCAGGCAATGCTTAAAAGCAGAAACTGTTTGTCCTTTGCTTTTTCTGGCTCCAGTTTCTTTACTCCAGCACCAAACATCGAAATAAAACACATTTGACCTTTTATTCTCAGTTCTGTTTTGAGAGCCCTCAGTGAGATTTGTCAAGTTAAAGGTCCTGTGGAAATTCTGGGCAAACTTCTGTTATCCACCTTGATCTGGAGTTTGGCTGGGAAATGACTAATTGTGTGAGTTTCTTGTCCCCACAGTGGGAAAGAAATACAGGAGCTGCAGCCCTCAGCACACCTGGTCCAGCCAGCAATGGCTGCACTAGCTAGGGCTTTTTTCCATCATTCACCTTCTAAGTCCAAACTCACTGTCACTGGGACAGAAGGGACTCCAGAGAGGAGATATTGTATAGATAATATAGAAAGGTAGTAGAAAAAGACAAAATAGACCTTTTATTCCAAAAGGTGAGAAATGAGAGGAATTGGGTTGAAAAGCAGACATGAGCAATTCAAAAACCCATTGGAAGTTCACATTTAGTTGTCCTAATAAGACTTGCTCCTTCCAAAGACTAATTGGGAATAGCCAGTCTTTTAATAAATCAAGATTGTAACTCCCACCCAGTCTGAACATTTACCTTTCTAATATCTGTGTGCTACTTTATCTCACTTTGTAGGATAAATGAATCCTGTGAAAAAGTGTCCATAAATCCATTTTTTGTTTTGTCATACTGGGGTTTGAACTCAGGGCCTCACACCTGCTAGGCAGGCACTCTATCACTTCAGGCACTCCACCAGCCCTTTTTTGTATTGGGTATTTCTGAAATAGGATCTCATGAACTATTTTCCCAGGCTGGCTTCAAACCAAGATCTCCTGATCTCTGCTAAGATTACAGGCATGAGCCACAGGTACCAAGCTCACAAATTACTTTTTAAATTGTATTGTATATGTTTCTTATTGTAAATAAGAAATCTTATTTATGACTATCATTAATGTTTCAGAATGTTCTAGGGTTAATTTATAGACCCACATGTTGGATGTTTTTGGCATTTCCCATACTATATCTAGGAAATGGTTGACAAAATGTTAACCTTTAAACAGTTGTCAAGATTCTTGATGATATAGAAATTAAACATGAAATTCTGCACTTTCACTTTGAGGGATCTGTAGATGTATCTTGAGATCTTGGGAGAGTAAAGAGCTTAGTACTACATAATGAAATGCTGATGTTACTCAGATTGGGGACAGAGAGTGACAGAAGCCCCACAATGAATGGTTCATCTCTGGCATTGGTTGGGATTGACAGGTCTAGAATAAGTAGAATGTTTTCTTTGGTGTGGTTTATCATTGCTTTAACCATCATGGTCCTGAGGTTGCATAGTTACTCCATGGGTGTAACCAGCTTGGGTTATTAATCCCACGGCTAGAGACTGTGCAACATTCACTGTGTATTGAGTGCCCACAATTGTCAAACACATGGCAAGCCCCCACCTGAGAAGCTTCCCACAGTGACCAAGCAGCACAGCATCTCACACACATAGCAAATACATCAACACATGGCGATAAACCCATCAAGGACCTGCCTTGGGGGATCACAGGTGCTCCAGACCTCTCCTCCATGAGGGATTGGCCCCGTGTTCACTCCTGATCAAGGCACATGCTTGACCCTGGAGCTCAGTTCCTTACCTTGCAAACCATAGGACAGATGTGGTTGACTAGCCTACCTGCAAAAAATAAACCTTAGCTTCCCCGGATAAAAGAGCAGCCCAAAAATCCACAAGAACAAAACATCAGACAGGTTATGTCAACTGGAATATGATTTCCTTTGCAGCTCTCACAGTTGCTATTTCCAGGTAAACTTGCCAACATAGTTTGAAACACTCCTCTGCAGATTTAGTGAGATAAATCTATTGATTGGCTGCCAAAAATGAGACCTGGGGACAATGCTTGCAAAGAGGATTACAGAACCTCCTGTCAGCCTTGGGAAGCTGGTGCCAAGTCTGGGCTGGCTTCTTTCCCAGCTTTGCTCCTGTCTGACTCCCTGCAGGAGCAGGCCTGCATACATGTCTTGATATTAACCAGAATAAATTATAAAGTACAATTTTCTACCTACAAGCCTGTGTGGATTTCTCTGGAACTCATCTCTGAGAGATTTTTTTTTAACAAGTCAGTTTGTTTGACAAACTTGTCCCAACTAGATGTCACATGGGGTAACAATTAACCAGTTGCTGTTCAGTTGCCAATTTTCATAACCTGTAAAGATGTTTAGAAGCCCAACATAATTCACCCACCTCTTTAGGCTGTCCATAAAGTCTATGCAAATGTTTAAAATCTTAACGTAAGTTGTAGGCGTGACAGAAACCAGTGGTAGCTGTTCTAGTAATTAATAGGGATGCTGTCTTCTCACAACTGATATCGATGTAAATCAAGCTAATTAGGAAACATTTTTATTTTTTTAACACCACAGTGAGGACTTGGAATAATTCATGGTGCATAACTTTATAATTCAATTAATCTAAAGTGAAATGATATTTCTTCTGACCTGACTGGACTCACACAAAAAGTAATTGAGAAAACTGTTGGATGAACACCCCTGTGTATTTTGATAACAAGGATTTCTTTCTATATGATAAACCAGCTATTATCTGAAAACTAAAAGGATATTCTCCAAGTATGGCATGCAACTCATTGTCAAATACAACTCCAAATTTTTACAACTTTGGCAGATACAACTGAAATTTCATTCTAATATTTCAGAGATTCATTAGACAAGAAGATAATTCTTAAGGTGACTTATTTGGATGTGCATTAAAAATCACCTGAGGTGCTTTGAAAAATGATGATGTCCAGGTCCCATTTTTTTAAAGCTCTCCAGGTGATTTGAGGAGCAGCCAGGGCTGAGAATCAGTGATTTAAACATTCCAACAAAGAGATCATAATAAATCAGATTTCTCCCTAACTAACTCTACTCCTTCCCCATATCCCTGTCCTCTCCATATGTACCCTTGTGTTCTGGTATTGAGCCTTCCCAAGTACTCAGACCTGCTGGAAATACAGGAGCCAGACCCTGGGACACCTGGGAGATGAGCTCGTTTGGGGCAAGGGACAGAAGGCTGCGACATTATGCTGTGGGTGTGGACTGCATTATTTAAACACGATTTCTTTGTTTTCCAACCCAAGGATGAAGTGCAAAGTCGGTTTAGTGCCATTGCCAAAGGTAATTTCCATCTTCTATCTCCATCTGCCTTGTTCTTTCTCCCAAGCTAGCCCCTTCCTTCCTTTCCCCACATTGCAAAAATTCTAGCCATGTAACTACTAGACTCCTAGGGCATGAAAATGCACTCTCCCCCAGTACAGCAATAATATAATAAAAATAAGCTACAAAAAGAAAAAAGAAAGAAAATGTACTCTCTCAACATGGTTTATATGGGTCTATTAAAATTTAATCCCTATCATCCCAGCACTGTCCTCTCTTTCCTTGCCCTGTATGAATGAATGAGCTCCCCTCTGAGAGTAAGAGAAGCAAAAGGCAGGGGTGGGGGGGTGGGGGGGCATTGATTCTTCTGAGCTGGGGCAGTACTGGAACCTTACAGATGGTGACCAAATTGCTGCAGGCACTAGTTCATGCCACACATACCAGAGGGGCTGATCTGATAGCTGGATACTGTGTCTCATTTCTCAAGGTTCCTGCCCTTCTGCCCCAGTCCTTGTTCCAACATTCATCTTAAAGAGCCTTGTCCCAGGGCACTTGTCCTCATTAGCAGAGCTCTCGAGAGGCTAACGGGATGATTATCAACCTGGTGTCCTGCCCAACAGTCCTTACCTGTTCCTTACCCCTGACCGTAATTAGTGCTTGATCTCCACATCTTGTGGGTGGCAGTTTATTCTTCTGTGCTGTCCTTAAGTAAACTTCTCCCCGCCCTTATATTCTGGGCTGATATGTTCCAAGTGTCCCCGAGGAGCAGATGCTGAGCAGTCAGATGGCAGCTATTGCAACCGAGCAATTAGAGGATGTAAGAGAATTCTGGTGCACACGGTTGACACGGAGCGGTCAGAAAATCGAATATTTGAGTGCCTGACCTGTGGCAAACACTGCGTACACGCCTGCGCGCGCGCGCACGCACACACACGCACACGCGTTGTCTGTCTTTATGTACAGTTATTGATTCCCTTAAGTAAACTGGACATTTTTCTCTTCAGCTATCCCTTATTAACCAATTCATCTCATCATTTTAATATAGTAATTGGGGAGTTAGAAGGGAAAACAAAAATCAAGACCTTTTACAAGGTGGGTTGTAAGTGGTTCTGTGCTATAAATTCAAATCGGTTTTAAAACTGAAATATTTATAGTGCATGAAAGTCTTATTCAGAAAATCCTAGATGTGAGTTTGTAATGCATATTTACCTAAAATCCTAGACACTCCAGGACTCAAATTGACAAAACAGTATCAGGTATTATATCTCAGCTGTGTCCTTTTAAAAAGACTTACTGAAAAATTTTTTAAACTCCCATCATCTTAAATCCCACCCACAGCATTCCTTCAACACTACTGAGCAGAAGAGAAAGCAAGGAACAAACAGTGGTTCTGAATTATTTTTCTGAACTAGGAGAAAGCTTTGTTTGGCTTTTAGGGCCATAAGAAAGAAATAATGCTCTTCCCTCTCTCTGGTCTCCATACCAAAGTTCACTTAACAATTGACAAAAACACAAAAACAAGACAGGCAGCTGGACAAGAGGGCTAGCTATGCTAGCTTAGTCCTGGTGCCGGGAATTAAGGTCTCCAGTGTGACCTCGGGTAGTGACCTCAGAGGCCAAGGGACGTGGAGCTCCCCAGCCCAAGCCTCGCACAGGGACGTCAGATGACCACGCTAACTGTCACGCTCTGGCGGTGGGGCACGATCTTGCGGGGCCAGGCGAGCAACAGCTTGCGCAGCTCCTCGCGGAAGCTGTCATGCAGCCAGGCGTAGATGAAGGGATTGTAGCAGGCGGAGCTCATGGCCAGCCAGTGGCAGAGGAGCTGCACCAGGCCAAAGGCATAGGGGTCGATGGCGTGCGGGTCGAGGTCCCGCAGCAGGTTGAAGACGTGCAGTGGCAGCCAGCAGACGGCGAACACCACCACGACCACCACCAGCAAGCAGAAGGTGCGGCGGCGGCGTGCGCGGTCCCAGTCGGCCTGGCTCTGGGTCACGCAGCCTGGCACCACGCGGTTCCGGAGCTTCACCGACACCCGGACATAGGACAGGAGGATGACCAGCAGGGGGAGCAGGTAGGTGCCAAGCAGCAGCCCCCAGGCGTAGAGCTGGCGCTGGCGCTCCTGGGAGCCCCAGAACTCCTCGCAGAGGCGCACGTCGTGCGGCTTCAGCTCGACGTGGTAGGTGTGCACGGCGGCGGGCAGCGCCAGCACCGCGGACAGCGCCCAGATGGCCAGCACGGCGTAGGCGCTCAGGCGCAGCGAGATGCGCCGGCGCAGCGGGTGCACCAGCACGACGTAGCGGTCCACGGCGATCGTGGTGAGCGTGAACACCGACACATACACGGTGACCGGCTGCAGGAAGAAGACCAGGTGGCACAAGCCGCCACCGAACACCCAACCGCGTGGCTCGAAGGCATAGGCCAGCGTGAGCGGCACGCAGGCGGCGCACATGAGCACGTCGGACAAGGCCAGGTTGCCGATGAGGAAGTTGGTCACGTTGTGCAGCCGGCGCACCCGCGCGATCACCAGCACCAGTAGGCAGTTGCCCACCAGCCCCACGACCACCACGACGCTGTAGAGCAGCACGATCAGCCCCTTCAGCTGGTGCACCAGCTGCAGGCTCTGGAACGGCGTGACGGCCTGAGCACCGGGACCTGCCACAGACCCATTGCCCACTGAGGCCTCTGCACTCTGGTTGGTCGGAGTTGAGGCCACTGGAGGCAACCCAGAAAACAAGTCAGGTACCCTGGAGTTTCGCGTGGGCAGTGAGGTCATGGCCACCTGTCCAAAAATAATCAAAGTCTGTCATTTTCCGTTCTCCATCAGCCTCTCTTACACCAACCACCCCCCCCCCCCCACCCCACCCCACCCCCACCCCACCCCCCACCATTCCCTTTGGAATGACTAGCCACGGAACAACAAAAGCAATAAAAAGGTGCTGTGCGTCCACCTCTGTAAAATAAACCTAAGCACGGTTAGACAGGCACAGGTAACCTAAACACCTCCTCTTCAATGCATAGCCCTCTCGATCCACGCAGCCCAGACCCGGGAACGAGTTTCCTACCTGTGAATGGGGTTTGACCGCGGGAAAGCGCTCCCGGGAGGGCAGGGCAGAATTTCTGCTGTCCCCAAGCGGTCCTCCTCCCACGACGGCGACCCAGGCTTCTCTCTTACCTGCGGTTGCTGCACGGATCCAGGGGTTCCCAGTGGGCTAGCAGCTTTTGAGGGGACTGGGAGCGCCTCCCCTCCTGCCCGCCCCCCCCACTCCGCGCTTCTTTGTATGGAAAATGGGGGCGGAGCGCAAGCTGCCCAGCTCGGTGCTTAGGAAACTAGTGAGGAAGGCAGGGTGGGGAGGATGGAGCCAGAAAGGGGGAGGGGCCGGCAAAGCCAGGTCAGAGAAGCGAGGGTGGTCTCCACTACCGGAGCTTGCAGCGCCGCTGCAGAATCCCGGTCCCAGCAGAAGAGAAGCGTGAAGCGCCCAGCTGTCGGGACCCCCTGGTGTGGTCTCAAGGGGGAGGGGCAGGAGGGGAGATGAGGGTAAGGGAGCTGTTAAGATGCACCAGGGGGTGTGAGGGAGACGGGACAGACTGGTCCTTCAGCTCGGATCCATATAGAGTTCCAGCTGCGGTTGATGGAGTCGCTGGGCTCTGTCTGACCGGGCTTTGCCATGTAGAGCCCGGAGCTGGCCGCGGACCCACTGAGCCTTTTGCCTGAGCTGCGGGCACCGGGTCCCGCCAAGCCGAAGGAAGGATTCCGCACCGCGGACAGTCCTGCGGCACCTGCTGCACCTGCCGCGCTGTGCGTGCCACGCGCAACAATTAGCAAATTCCTTCCCCTCTGTGGGTCCCAGATGTTGGCAGAAAAAAACCCAGCCTGGTTCAAAGAGATGCCTCTTCTCTTTGCTTCCTGGGATGTGGCTGCTGACTCAGAGAAGAGGGTGAATAGAGGTGTATGAGCCGGGTCTCCTAGGTCCAGGGGTTGGTGACTTTTGCTCCTGTGCGGATCACCACACAGGGTCAACCCCATTGTTTACCCCCCAGGTCAGAATATGCAGCCCTCGTGCCAGTTACCCAACAAAAACACACCTCAATGCCTTGCCCCACTGCTCCCTTCTCTAGCTCTTTCTCTCTCAGTTACACCCACACCCTATCACCCAGCTCTCCCAGTACCAAACGTTGACTTTCTAAACTGGTACTCTCTCTTCTTCCTTGAATGATGCCCTCAGGCCACCTCATCTCAGTTTTTAGGATTTTTTTTTAAATGCCAGTAATTACAGGATTTAGCTGGATAGATAGCAAAAGTAATAAACATTTGAAAAGTTTAAACGTTTCATGAAAATTTTAGTAGTATTAAGTCGTCATTGAAATGCAAATTAGCCTGAACCATGAAGATGGGTGTGAGGAAAAGGGGGCTTTGCAATCTCCCCTTCAGATGCCATCTCATCTCCTGGGCCTCTTCTTTCCTTTTACCAGAGGATAAAGAAGCTCTTCGTGGTCCCCTCTCTGGTAAGCCCTTGTGTTTTATCCTAACTGTGGCTGCAGTTAGACTGGAAAGAAGTAGCAAATTATTCCACCCTCCAAAGTCAAGTGAGTCACTCATTCAGGAAGAAAAGTCAACATTGGTACAAAAGCTATCAATTGTATGCAGCTGTATCCACCCCAAACCTACAATCCCTGAGTTACAATCAATTTATCTAAAACCATTATGAATTTTTTTTAACCCAGAAAACTACAAAGCTTCAGTTGTGTTGCCTGATCCCTTAACTGGTAGTTTCTCCATCATGCTGACCAGCAGGGCTGTTAAACACCTGAAGCAGAGGAAATTGTTGTAATGCAGGTGGAAAAGGATTTGGGATGTTGTTAGGCCTTCTAAGTGGAGCCAGAACTCAGGTCAACATCACTTGATATATCACAGTAAAAGCAGTAAGAAACCAACCTTGTCAGCAATCAAAGGCCATGCAAATATTGGAATCTGAAGGTTTAATATTGGAGCACCTTCCAGAGAAGTGAGACAGTATTTGCCAGGTTCCAAATTAAGTCTGGTAAGGATTTAGTGGTAGCTATATTCGTAAGGTAGAAAAGGCATGAACGTCTTAGAAGAGAATACGCAATATTGGATCTTTATTTCCTCTACTCCTCACTACAGGCAAGGTTGATATATCATGATCAAACCATACTAATGCTCAGACTGTCCTGTGCTAATACAATAAATGCTCCAGAAACCAGGGAGGTCCTAAGTAAACAAAGAACTCTGTGGATGAATGAAGGAAGATTGGTCCTTTATACACTACACAGCAAACTAAGGGACTTGGTTCCCCAAAGCCTTTAATGTCCATCAAACCAAGGCCAGATTCTTTAGCATGGCATTTCCACCAGCAGGCACTGCCATTCTGACCCTCCCACATTTTTTGGTCTGCCTTCCCCACTTCCACCTCCACCCCCATCTGTTTTACTCCCTAACACAAATCAAATTTTGTTCAATATTGACATATCCTCACCATTCCTAGCCAATGCTTCTCTTAGGGTCTATTTTTTTTCTCTAAAATGTTGGTTGTTTTGTCCCCACTCAATTCTACATGCCCACATTGTTCACACCTCACAAGGCCCAACTCAAAGATTACCCTATCCTAAAGACTTCTCCTTTCTCATCTTTCTGTCATTATTACTTCCTACCTTTGAAATTGCAAAAAGTGTTTAGTTTCCCTGTCTTCATCAAGGTTGACTATAAACTCCTTAGAGGCAGAACCAATGACTTGAAGCATTTTTGTACCTGTAAGATGCTATGATCACAGCAGATGTCCAAGGCATGTTTCTTTTATCAAATGAATAAAAATAGCTATCATTTATTGAGAGCTTTATACAGGTCAGGCACTGTGCTAAGTACTTCTTCACTTGTATATTGTGCATTCTTCAAAGAAGTCTGGTAAGTAACTAATCACAATGACACAGCTAGAATTCCAACTTAGATCTGCCTGATTCTGGAGCCAATCCACTCAACTACTGAACTCACTATGAATGAATGACAAATTCACTCGCAAATACTGAAAAAAACAAGCAGGTTGGGATTGTCACTAGAAAATTAAGTGGTTTATTGAGCTCTAAAAAATCCAGTTACAACCCCAATCTTGTCATGTTTAAGTTTAGCAACTATTTATGCCTTACCCAAAATGTCCCTTGCTTCTGTCTATCCTATATAGGAGACAAAAATACCTCGGGCCATATGAACTTCAGGGAATGACATTGCTAATGATGACTACTATGGTTTTGATAAGTACCCCCTAGAGGCCTATGAATTAAAGGCTTGGGCCCCAGTCCAGGTTCTGTTGAGAGGTGGTAGAACTTAAAAGAGGTAGGGCTTAGTGACAGGGCTCATTTGGGACATGCCCTCAAAGGGGGAACCTAGTCTCTTCCTCCCTTTCTGCTTCCTAGAAGCCACTGGGCAAGCAGCTTGAACTCCCCGCCCCCCATGTACTTCTGTCATGATGAGCTGTCTTACCACAGGCCCACAAGCAATGAGGCCAAACAAACATGGACTGAAACCGTGTGCCAAAATTGACCTTTCCTCTTTGTAACTTGATTATTTCAGGTGTTTTGTTACAATAAAATACAGCTGCCTAACACAAAGTCAATAGGTAACATGATGTGGAAAAGCAGAAGATGAAGAAAACAGAAACAAAGACTGGAGTTAGAGGCCTGGGCTTGATTAAAGGGATCTGAAGATTTGACACTAACTGAGTTCATGTTGGCACACTGGAGTTTGCTCAGATGTCTGAGAAAATGTTAGAGATGATCTTTAATTATTAGTGGTAAGAAATAATGGAAACTTGTCTGAGTCAAGGCAGTAACAGGAAAGAAGCTCCTGTAGAAGTGAGTTGAATCGCCCAAGCCTGCCCTGTGTGTGTTCCGAGAGCCAGGTGCCTCTCAGCTCCTCACACTGAACCATGCATCAGCTCTGGAAGCCTCTCCAACAGGGCAGGTCTGGCCACCTAGGGCAGAAAACAGCCTGTGGCAGGCTGTGTAAGAACTAGCATGACATCTCATGCAAAGGTAAAGAAAGCTCTGTGTGTTTCCTTTAGTGACTTCAAGAAAGTTCTTTGAGTCACAGACCTCAGACATACTAATTATGGCTCCTTGCTCAGTCCTGACCACACTGAGAGTTACTGTTGTAACTCTCCAGCCCAACTTTGCCAAAACACAGAGTAAAGATTTAAAAGCTATTATTCTGACCAGAAATGGTCTTTCTTTGGCTGTACCTCTTCTTTTTCCTATCCTGTCAAAAAGCAAAAGCAAAACCCAAATGGCCTAGTTCCCCTCCCCAATGGGCATTACTGTAGTGGCATGGAAGGCTGTGTGGCTGGCTTCTGTCTCATTTTAATCTGGGGTCTGTGTTGAGTCTCAACCTTTTGGGTTGGAAATATGGGCAAGCTTTGGCCTTTCTCCAGCTGAGCACATGTGAAAGCTCTTGACTATGCCCTGCACTCCAAAAGGGTGAGAGGGTGCCAAGTTTTTCCAGAAAGGAAACCTACTCTTAGATGCCTTGCCCACATGTGTTGTTCAGGGGATGGAACAAAGTGGCCCTTTGTTTTTTTCACTGGTCACCTGCCAGACTGTACTTATTGTAGGCAGACTTTGAGTAGACTCCAGGCAGTCTCTAGGGAGCAGAGGTAGCCATCCTGCTGCAGCCCTAGAGTAGAAAGTCTACAAGACACATACACCTTTCTTTTAAAGAATAGACTCCTATAATAGCATGAGTTTGTAACAGACTAACAATGTCTTATCTCTTCTTTGCCTTCAGTTATCCTGGGTATAGGCTACCTCCCCAGCAGAGGGGTGGGTGAGACCCCCAAAGGAACACAGGGGCTAGGGTGGAGTAGAAAAATCTTCTGACCCACAAGAAAAAGGAACAATGAAGCCTTCTCGTTCAACAGCTATTCATTATTCACCTACTATGTGACAAAGCTGGGACAAGGAACTTTGAGAGAGAAAAAGATGAGTGAGACATGCTCCCAGCCCTCAAAGAGCTCCCTGCCTAGTTCACAATTTGGCAGAAATAGAGTCAGCTGGCTGGAGGGACAATGGAGACACTCTTAGGGCACCGCTACTCTATGAAATACAATCATAAAACTGAAAGTCCTGTGGCTTCAGTAAATTTACAAACCTGGAGGCTCCTGGTTCCTAATTCTTCTCAGAC